CGCTATCCACGTACGTGAGCATTGCGCCATTGCACATCTATCTATCTGCTCTCCAAGACCTCGAAGGCTCGCGCTGACCTGACGTTCGAGCGGCGCGCTGAATCACTACGTATAACCAACTAACCACTGTGATCCAACCGCCGGGAAGCGAGGGAGGAAACGGAAACGCGCGCGAGCGCGTCGCGTGCGTCACGGACGGTTCCTGATCGAATTGATTGGCAACCATAACGTCCCCGACCGATCGATCGAGCTTAGCCCGGACTCTCGTGTAGAACCGGTCAATCCGCAGGCTGGCTATTGCCGATCTGCCACTAGCTCGTGCGGTGAGGTTTGGCACGAGGCCTAGCGGTGGACAAAAGCAGCTGGCTATCTATTGTACCTGCTCTCGCAGCCTTCGTGCCCGGTTCCCAATCTATTCAGAGTCCCGAGGGCTGAGCTCAGGATGACAAAGCGAACGAACGCCGGTCACCGACCGTTTGACCCTATCCTACGCCGCCGTGGAGATCCTGACGACTTTAACCACGAACCAATCAAAACCTGCGTGTTACTACTTACTACCTCCGTCCCAAAATAAGTGCAGCCGTAGATATTCGTGCCTAACGTTTGACTGTCCGTATTATTTAAAAATTTTGTGAAAATATTGAAAATATTTAGTCACACATAAAATACTATTCATGTTTTATCATCTAATAGCAATAAAAATACTAATCATAAAAAATTTTCAAATAAAACGAACGGTCAAACGTTGAACGTGAATAGTGCAAAACTGCACTTATTTTGAGACGGAGGGAGTAATTACTACTACTATGCATTATGTTGATATCTATATTCTAGAATCTGGATACATGGCTGACAACTAAGGTCGTGTTTTTTAAGAGGGTTGGAAATCTTTTCTACTCGGCACGCAGAATAAACAGAAAGGTACCATGGTCTATTTCTAAACAACTTTTATATAGTAACATTTTTGCAAAAAAAAAAACGTGTTATTGAACGGTTTGGGAAATGTACGTGCGCACAACAACTAGAAAGTAGAAGTTGAAAAACAAAACAGAAGAGTACACCCTTAACCATGAACCGAAATAAAACCTGAGCTCTGAATAGTGTGACTTAATTTGATAGTACCATTCTGGAAAATATGGGGAGAAACGTTTTTGGTCCCTGGCCTTGTCCATTAATTATTGCCGGCCGTCCTGTACATGCGTCGTCATCAAACGGCCTAGCTAGTCTGCTACTGCAATCAGGAAGCTAGCAGCGCCATGAAAGCTGCAAGGAAGAAAGAACTCGTACTCGATCGCGTTTTATATATTCTCTTCACACTCGTAGTCCACGTACGCCTTTGACCGAGCTAGATCAGGCGATCACACGCCGGTTGATTTGGATGATGCACGTACGCACCGGAACTGACGGACCGATCGATGGATCGAGTTTGTTTGTTACAACCGGGACAAGCGAGACACGACGAGAAAAGTCGCGAGCTCTCAATCTCGTGAGAAACGGAGCGTTTGACAAATTAGATTCCTCCTGGGAATAATTGATCAGGAAGGGAACTGAATAATAATACAATACACTAAAAGTCAATTATGTTGCCACCAACATGGATGGTCCTTAAATAAATTCCATGCCTATATCCCGTGGTGTACTTTGCTTCCTGTTTGTTATTGTGAATTTTGGACCGAATTAAGGTCGTGGGTACGTGGTCCAGGTTTAATAAATAGTAGCTTGTTGTTCTTTGTATTTTCCAGGCATGTGCAATCCCCATGTGCATACTCGATCGATAGCTCGCTTCAAGATTGCCGGTTTTATTCAGCAGTCCAGATGCAAGTTTGACGCTCCATAGAACTGATGATCAACATTCAACAGAGCTCAAAGGCTGTGCTTTTTTAGGGGTTGGAAACCCCTCCCTTCTCACGCAAAAACAAAGCGATAACGAAACAATAGATTCATAATTAATAATTAATCAAGTATTAGCTATAAAATTTTGAAATGAATTAATACGATTTTTTTAAAAAAAAACTTGTCCATAGAAACTTTTTTTAAAAAACGCATTGTTTAACAGTTTGGGAAACCAACCATAATTTACCATGTCTACACTGCCTTTGACAATTGTTTGATTGTAGTCTTAGGCTGTGTTCTTACCACAGGTTTCCTAACTCATCTCTCTCTTTTTTGCGCGCACGCTTTTCAAACTACTAAACGGTGTTTTTTTTAAAAAAAAAGTTTCTATATGAAAGTTGCTTAAAAAATCATATTGGTCCATTTTTTAAAAAAAAGAAGTTTAGCTACTACTTAATTATGGTAATATTTTTTTAAGACTTACTATGGTGTACAGAGAATTTGATCGTCTCAACTTAATAAGCCAAATGCGGCAGTATGTTTATAAATGATATATAACAAGTTTAACTGGTTAGGTTACACATGGTGGAATCAGCTCACCAGGATTCAAGTTATAAACTTGACATGGTTACTTGCATTTACGGCTCATTACTCTTTCGGTGGTAGGCAATGTACCTGTCAATAGCAAGACACCCATGGTGACTTCCTCAATCAACCCAGTCTTCCGGAGGTCCTCATATCGGGTCAGTCGACAACGAGGCGTCTGTGGTGACTTCGTCAATCTCAAGATATGCCGGCCTAGTCGATAACGAGGCGCCCGTGGTGACTTCGTCGATCTTAAGATATACCGCCCTCGTCTTCCGGAGGTGCTATAGGGGTAGGGTGATTTCACCATGCTGGCCCGCCCGTGGTGACTTCATCGATTTTAAGATTTACCGGCCTCATCTTCTGGAGGTGCTTATAGGGGTAGGGTGATTTCGTCAATCTCAATATATGCCGATCTAATCTTTAGTCGACAACGGCCATGGTGACTTCGTCAATCTCAAATATACCGGCCTAGTCTTCTGGAGATGCTTATTTAGGGTAGGATGATTTTGTTAATATTAAGATATACCAGCCCAGTCTTTTAGAAATGCTCATAGAAATAGGTGTATGTGTGCGTGTTACGACGCTTGTGTTTCTATGTAAAAAGTATGGTTGATAATAAAACACGTCTTTAGTTTAGACTATCAGAAGATAAAATACAATTCGTGCGCGCATGTGAGAGGAGGGGAGGGGAACGAGGGCGCTGGCAGAGGAAGGAGGCGGCTTTTCGGGGGGGTGTTCTTATCAAGGCGCACGCTCCATGTCGTCGACACGAGTCCAGGGGAGGGGATAGAGAGAGACGTCAGGAGGAGCGCATACTTGTAGTAGATCATAGCTGCATGCCGTGTCAGTACGTCCTCGCATGGGGCGTTCAGGTTCTTCAGCCCCAAAGCTACCCGCGAGGGAAGAAAGGGAATGTCTTTTGGCCACCGCGCCGCGCGCCGCATCGGTCGCCCCGCCGCCGGGACGGCGCGCGCGGCATGCAGCCCAACCGAAGCAGCCGCTGCACGCGGCCGCGCAGCACGTACGAGTACACCGGTACACGCTGCTCGCCTGACTGCGTGCGTGCGTGTGCGGCCATTCGCGCGCTCCTGCGCTCCTGCGCTAGCTGCGACCTGAGGCCCGAAAGCGTCGTCCCCCTGCAAAAAGCGCGTGCTGCTGATGCCAGCCGCTGCACCGCGGCTAGGGGCATTCTCGGTTTCTCTCTCATGGCGGATAGGCGCACACTGCTCAAAGAATTTTGATTCCGGGACACGAAAGGGAAAGCGAAAACACGCAGGAATAAACGGAACAAGGCCGGCCCGCACGGCGGCACGGCACACGCAAAAGCTACTACCGCGGCTACAGAATGTGTCTGTGTGTGTGTGTGTGACTGTGAACAACCCCCACATTACAAAAGTAGTAAGAAAAAACATAGGGAAAATATGAGAAAACAGGGCACGTTTCGGACCAGACACTGAAAAACATAGGAAACCTCATCGATTTGTAACTCAATTTTCTAATTTAAGTATACTGTTTCTACATGGAAACATGTGGAAAATACCTAAGGATTGTGTAACACTGTTGTGCTGACCATATCCTCCGTTCGATCACAGTTCGTCCACTGTTCCTCTGCTGTGTTCGTCAACTTTTTCTTTCTTTGGTCCAAGCAAGGCAAGAGGCCGGAGGAGACCAAGCTAGTGTGAGATAGAAAAAGTATGTGTCCGGATTCGGGATTCCCATGACTAGCTTATTAGCTTGGGCTCCTTAATCATGGAGTGTTTGCCATGATTCTACTATTATTCTAGCTACATCATGCACCGTTGCATGAGTATTGACTAGTAGTACTACTTCACCGACCTGCAGCTTTTACTGACGACGAAGGCTGTGAAATGTGAATGATAGTAGATCCATGCATGCATGCAGAACTGCAAAGTGCCTAGGGTTTTCCCCTGCTCGTTGCATGCAGTGCATCGATGGTCATTTGCAAGGAGGAAAGGGGTGCTTAGCAAAAGGCCCTTTCCGTGTTAATTTAATCCCAAACTTTTTATCATCAGCATGCAGAAAGCCTGCCCCATCATACAGATATATAGATAAGATAAAAAGAAGGGATATTTATTCATAGATAGATGGATAGAGAGGCATAGTATAGCATCTAGCTAAGAAGATAGCTCCTCTTTGGTCTAAAAAAGTATATAAGCCTTTACATCTCTATTTCTCTTTTGCACTTGGAATAATTGAGATTTCGTTGCGTTGACACAAAAGCTGAGAGGAAAAGCGTTTTATCATGCCCAAAATCGGAAGCACAAAGATTCACCACTACTGCACAAGCATGAACAGCCCAAGATTTGCAGCCTCATGACATGATGCACCCAATGATACATATATGGAGAGATCGAATCAGCTACAGTAGCTTAGTAAGTGACAGCACAATTGACACACTTGCATGCGCAATATCGAGTTATATATGAACAGCTCAATTAGCACTTCGTCCCTGAAACCTTAGGTTGATTAAGAACGACAATCGATTCACTTAATTATACTCTAACACAGTAACTCTAAAAATGGAGGCGGGGTAAACATATGTGAAATAGAAACGAAGCTTAAGGACGGTTAATTAATTATATTATCTTATATATAGTGTCTCGTTGCGCAACAACCATACAAATCTGAATATCCATGTACTAGTTACTCGATCCACGTCTATATACTTTCGAGTGGCGATAAACTCACTCAGTTCATGCATAAATAAATTAAGAAAAAAAAGAAAGCTAAAAATCTTCACTCGCAAATTGCTCGTCCAGGCCACTCTTTTCCATTATTGAACCACATGTTTTCCTCTATCAGATGGCACCCGTTTTTTTTTTTTGAACGAACCATCAGATGGCCCCTTTAATTTGATGTAACTTCTCACTCCATGCAGCTGATCCGCCAGCGGAAGATTATAAATCTAAATCTTGCACAAGAACATGACCACGAACTAAATCAGCATGCACTCCACCACTAATTAAGACTCCAATTATGTGCCGTGTGTACGTACACTGATCACCACCAAGCCTAGAAACAGTAGAAAACAGCAGCATGTTACTACATGTATATAGACGACGAGACCACGCGTACGTTGTGCGTATCAAGTACTTGTGCTAGCCACAGTGCTACAACAGTTTCGTTGCATTTCCAGCATTAGAATTTGCGTAGCCAGCTGAAATGGTGTTGTTATTTGCTGCGAATCCGAGGAATCCATGGTGATTATTGCTGCTGTTGATGTTGCCGCTGTAATACTGCTGCGGTAACTTGGACGTGGTGGTGGTGGTGCCTAGGGTTTCCAGCTTTTGGACCTGGGACTTGAGGAACTTGAGGTAGCTGGCCGCCTCGTCGAGCATGGACGCCGTGTCCATCTTGTTGCCGCCGGGGACCAGCTTCTGCAGGACGCGGAGGCGGTCGCTGACGCGCTCCCGCCGGAGACGCGCCGCCACCGTCTGCGGGTCGCTCGAGATGCGCACGTTCTTGCGGCGGGGCTTGTCGGCGGCGGCCTCCGTGCCGAGGTGGACGGGGCGCATGGCCGCCGCCCGGTAGATCATCTCCTTCACCTGCGCCATGGCTTCCATGTCAGGCTCGTACCCGGCGGTGGTGGCGCCCGCGTGGTGGTGGTGCGGCTGGTGGCCGAAGGTGATGCTTGTTGCTGACGTGGAAGCCCTCCGCTTCGCGGCGACGGCGCCGGTGGTGGGGCGTGGGCACGGCGCCAGCGGTGGCGCTGCGGCTGCGGCTGCTATGCCGGCGGGGTGGTGGTGGTCGTCGTATAGCTTTCGCTTGGGGTGGAGCGACTGTGTGGCTGCGGACATGGTGGACGTCGGCGACACCACCTCGGCGTCGTAGCCACCGCCGCCGCCGCTGTAGTTATTCGACTCGCCGGAGGAGATGTTGCCGCCGGTGGTGCCGCTGTAGCTGGACAGCATGGCGCCGTTCGACACGGCCCCGCCGTCGCTCCCGTCGCAGGCGGCGCCCCCGAGCTGATTCCGGGAGAAGGCGAGCGCCGCGTCGAGGAGGCCGTCGTCGTGCGCGCCGCCGGCGCCCTCGGCGACAGACGCAAACACGTCCCCCGAGCACAGCAACCCCAACGGGTCTCCAGCCACGGCGCCAAATCCCGAGGTACCCTGCAGACACCCGCCGCCGTCGCCGCCGCCGACGCCACCGTCGCACTGGAGCTGGGCGCCGAAGCACGCGCCCAGGAACGCGTCGTCCAGCTCGAACGGCCGCCCGCACCCCACCGAGCGCGGCAAGTAGATGTCGTCGTGGTGCATCAGCTGCCCGCCGCCGGCCCAGCCGAAGGTCTCCATCGCCGCGCCGCCGCAAGAATCACCAAACCACTGGCTTGTCTGTCTGGCTCACGGATTCTCGACGTACGACGACGCGACAAAACCGCGCACACTGCACGCAGAAAACGGAATTGAAGCGTGAGCGCTCCAGGGAATCCTCAGCCAAACGAATCACACGACCGATCAATCAGACACCGATCAAGACGAGCAATTAATCTCTCTAGATAATTACAAGAAGAGCGCGCGCATGCGTGATCGATGGAATTACAAATCCGTAATCAGCATCAAGAAACAGTGGCGCTGGTGAGCGGCATTGATGTTCAGACAGGGACGGGAGAGGAAGATGTCTCGAGCCTCATAATTACACTGTCCGTATCCGCTTCGCTCTACAGTTCATCTTATTACACCAAGAGCTAGTTAGATCTGATACACTGTTAGCGCAAATCAAAGCTAGTGTGTGGTCGATCTGCCAGCTTAACTGAACGAGCGGATGCTTATGTAACTTGCAGGCTGTGCGTTGCACATCTTTGTCGTTTGTTAACTGACACGCCCGGGCAACGACGTCAGTTATTCTGTTCCTACATAGTAGTGCTACTTAAATAGGTTGTTTCGAGAGTATGGATTACTTCTAATTAGGTAACTTCGAGCGTGAAATTCTGCATGCATGAAATCTCATGTCGAGAAAACTACTGTATCGAAATAGTATGCATATACAGGGAACAGGATATCTCCTCTGTTCATACCTACAGCTCGGTACGGATGGCTGATGGCGAGCCCCCAGAGACCAGAGTGAAACAAACGGAAGGCAGCTTCGGCGCTTTGCCGGTCGGATCGGAGCGCGGCTTGAAATCAAGCTCAATGTTAACTCCGCCGGCCGGAGAGCACCTTCGACGACGGCGAGTCGGCGACCGGCCGGAGCCTCAAGAGGGCCAAAATTGATCTGAACACGCAACAGAAGTAGAGTTCAAGAACCAATTAAACTAAAAGCTACAGATAGAAGAAGATTGTAGAGAGGTAGCTATCTATATAGTATTAGATCAGTACTACTTCTACATATTACTAGTGGTGTATATGCTATTACACAGTGGTTAGCTAGCTAGCAATACACACATACATACATACAGCTGTATAATAGTAGAGCTACCTGTACGTACTGTCTTGCTGAGGCTGTGAGGCAGCAGGGCAGCAGAAGATTGATTGATTGATCAATCAGTCAGCTGTGGTTCCTGTGGTTCTTGTCCCAGCCAGGCGCCGGCCTTGCTTCCAGGAAGCTAGCTTGCTGCTTAGCTCTAATTGACCAAGCAACAAAGCAAGGGGCACAGCAGGGAGAGGAGAGAAGCTAGAGAGGAGGAGACAGTACAGATCATGTATCTGGGATGAGGGATATGATGGTCCTCATGTTCATGGCTTCTCCTACACCTGTGAGCTGTGTGAGAATATATAGAGCTAGTAACTGTCTCTCTCTCTCTCTCCCCCTCCCTCTTGAGAAAGAGCGAGAGAGTAGTAGACTAGTAGTAATGGAAGAAGGTTTCTCACTCTCTCTCTCTCTAGCTTTCTCTGTTCCTGTGGGGTTGCTCGCTAGTGAAAAAGACGATGATGAGTGGGCGGCACATGAACTTGCATGCACAGCTGACGCGCTCTCATAAATACTACTAGCTCGTCCAAATCTGTAATCGCCTTGTAATATCTAAATACTAAAATAGAGGAGTATATGTATAGTCATATATTTTTTATAACAGTTCCATTGTTAGATTCTGTCATTAACAGATGTCCCATTTTTCTTATGATTAAGCAGGGAGTCTTATTATCTTATATATATTAGACGCAGAAGATAGGATAACTTTAAAAATGCAATGATCAAAGGTTCAAAGATCGTCTCCTCTCTGAAAGCAGAATGCTCCTAATAATAGCTTGGATTGGGCAAAAGGTTTCGGCTTCCTTTGGTCTCTGGTGTAAAGCTTGGCTCCTGCTTGTTTCTGGGGCTATGCATAATACTATAGCCTTTTTTGCCTTTGGCTGCAGACTGAAGAGTCATCAGAAGGGTAAAGGGCTCCTTGACTGCCACACTCTTCTGTCTATTTCATCAGTTACACTTTTGGTTACTTGCTTTAAGCCCATTTGTGCATGAGGAAATTAACAAGGAGAGAAGTCTAGCCATCTATACTTGTCTACTTCACTTGTTTGCACTTGGTTACATTAGGAGAATCACATGAAAAATGGTTGCTTCTTTCTTGGACATTTGATTCTCTTGCCTATAACAGAAGCACTGATTCAGTGGAAGCAGTATGAGGTAAACCGTGTAAAGCAACAAGCTTTACTGAAAATCTCCAGCGATATGAAACAGTAGGTCTGTAGATGAAGCTTTCAGCAGAGCAAGATGACAAAAAAAATGCTACAGCAGGGGTGCTGAAGTGGATGCAAAATTGGTACTGAAGAAGTAAAGATAAACTGACAAAACAATGACGACAACCAAGGAGCCAAAGAGGGGAAAACAAAGACCAAAACTACAGAGAGGGGAAATTAATGCACATAATATATTTTTTCTTGATTTTTTTTCTATGGTTCGGAACGAGATAGAGGAGACCACATCAAATCTGTATATGATAGGGTGATGTAGAGGACCACATCGATGATGATAGGCAACCAATTTTACAAGATTAGTTCAGAGTTTGATTACATATATTTTACAAGATGCAGGTTATAGCCCAAAAAACAGTACAAAGCAGTGACCAAAAGCTAGTCGTCTTTCTGAGTTACTAGTAATTTTCTTATGCATATGCACGCTACGATTTGGCTCATGTTTACTTGATCTAAAATAAACTTGCAACTAATAAACAGTATACATGTAGAGGCTAAACAACAGCGGAGAAGATCCGAATCTTTGTTTCCTGGGAGATACTTGCGCATGAAAAAACTCACCAAAGCAAGTAATTCAACTCGCTAGATGACATGAATTTGTCCTGTTGTACTATCTACTCTATCTTTTTTATTAGGAGGCACATGACTTTGTCTTCACATGCTTAACATCATTGCCACCTAACCATAAATTCAGTCAGATAGCTACTTAACAGGCATATATTTCACCTTTATTGTTTAGAAGCAACAAAAAATAATTAGTGCTTTTCTTAGAATCTATATGATGTTATTAATTTGAAGCTATAGCTTAATCTGTAAAATGTTTTCCACATATTATGTACAAAAAATAATAGATAAAAAACAGCAAATATATTGTTGCACATGCATTTTTGCTGTTATATGCTTCTGGTAGAAACTTACTTATCTAATTACTTCGGCATTATACTAGAAAGTAAATAGCAAAAACACAGCCAACAAACTATCTTGTAGAGACATTTCTCTAAGTAGCAAAATGCCAATGCTTTGCTATGAGTAAAATAAAATATATAATAATATGTCATAGACAACATTTTTTTATCAAATATGCTAGTATTCTTTGTTTGCTTATTTGAATATATTGTGTCCACTTGATTCAAACAAATATTAGACTATTACATAACATCAAAAAAAATATCAGGGACTAATTTAGAAAAAGTTCAAAAGTAGTGGTGGTACAGATACTATAGAGACACTTTTTAACTGTCTCTACAATACTATAGAGACATTTTCAAAAATACCTTATAAATATCCTATAGTGAATTATCTCTATAAATGAAGAGGCATTTTACAGAATGTATCTATGCCAACCGTAGCAAACCAATGTGACTTCCTTTGCACTTACGAATCCTTAAACTCCAGACCTCTTAAATATACCATTTCCAACTTGAATGGTCTAATTATCTCAACCTCATATTATTACTTATACATATGTCCTCCATGTTACTTTTATCTAGTTAATTAGCATAGATTAAAATTCTTATAAGTGCCTCTATAAAGATTAGAATGTCTAAAAAAAATACCTTTATATACCATGCAAATTTGAAAGTACTAAAAAGTGCATCTACAAAATAAATTTAATAAATTATGATAAAAGTGTCGAGAGATTAATTAAAAGTGTTTTAGGCAATATTTGCAGTGCCTCTGAAAATTATCTCTACACTTTAGAACTATTGATTTTAAATTCTTTTTAAAAATTAGCTCTACAAAATCGTATCTACATGAGGTTTTGTTGTAGTCACACGGAGTTCTTCAAACATTAATTTTATATACAAATTGCGTGTGATCCATAGATTAGTTCGTCGATTAGACATTTCATCGTATCAGCTAGCTAGTAGCTAGCTTTAATTTATAATATGTTTATCTTACTACCTGTTGAACTATACGCGCCAAGCCGGCCAAACCGCCGATTAATACGCATTATAACAAGTTTAATAACATAGGCAACAACTAACTTTAAATCATCTATAACCAATTTATACAATAGTTGCTTACTACACTATTAATAAATGGTCCCACCTATCATACACATTACGTATTAGAGTTCGTGCTGCAGTTGTCTGCTCCTCACTCTCTTCTTTTATCTCTTTAAAATTTTAAAATATGTTTATAGTTAGCTTATAGTCCATTATTGTACTGCTCTTATCCAGCTTCCTTAATAAATACTATAAACAACTCCATACAGATTTTAATCCTTAAAAAAAAAACTCCCTTATGGTGGATGCTACAACCTGGTGAAGTATTATTCTGTATTCTTCCTGCAGATCTGTTTTAATATTATTTGTAATCCCTAGATAGCTCTGTACAATTTCCTGTTTTTGACGAAAAGATCCGTCGTTGATTAGATGAATTGTGTCATCGTGCATTATCATATATCGTAATGAAAATTCGTGTTAAATAAAAAACTATGCAGACCAATCTATTGTTTCATTTTATTTTTTAATTAAAAAATCTTAAACTTAGAATTAATAAATATAAATAAAAGACCTACCTATTCTAGACTCTCACAATTAGTATTTTATTGCGAAGCGAGCGTCACTCAACTGGATAGGTTTCTTGGGTGGAACCAACCCATCCGATTTCAAATTCTAGATTTGACGTGGGTGTTTGTATTTACGACTAATTGTGGATGTGCATGCCCAGTCTTCCGAAGATCCTTATAGGGGTGAGTATGCGCGTATTGTGAGCGTCTACGTTTGTGCTATATTTTTTAAAAAATAGTATGTTAATAAAAACTAAACAACTGATGCACACTCTTTCAATCTAAGTTTTTAAAAATTTTAAAAATAACCATTATATATATATATATATATATATATATATATATATATATATATATATATATATATAAACATATAATCAAAATTTTAGTATTCAGAATAATACTGATAATAGTTCGTGCAACACAATCATTTAGCAACTAGGATATATGCAATTATGCATGCTATAGTATTCAGAATAACACTGATAATAATTGTTCGTGCAACACAATCATTTGGCAACTAGGATATATGTAATTATGCATGCTATTGCTCTGTAACACAGTGAACATAATATCTTCTTTCTATAAAGTTAATGTCTACTAAACACCTAAATCTCAACATACAAGCTTAGTATTTATTAGCACTCTCAAAACCTACATGCAAGCATGCCACATCAACCTGTTAGGTACATAAGCTCAAAATGCAAGCGTATAATAATTATATCTACAATTTATTACATCCTAAAACTAAACATACATGTGCTAAATCATTATTCTTAAATCGTTTACGTAATATTTCAATCCAAATCATTTCGTCATTTCTCCATTATCTAACATATATCCCGCAAAAAAGTGTGGGGCATAATCTAGGTACATATATATATATATATATATATATATATATATATATATATATATATATATATATATATATATATATATATGTATGTATATATATATATGTATGTATATATATATATATATATATATATATATATGTATATATATATATATATGTATATATATATATGTATATATATATATATATATATGTATGTATATATATATACTAGTTGCCAAATGATTGTGTTACACTAACTATTATCATTGTTATTCTGAATACTAGTACTGTTATACTAGAATGTATCACATACACTCAAAATCTCTTGTACTATCAAACGGAGGGAGTAGCCTCCTAGTTCTAGTATTTTCCTCCTGAATAACGTCGACGTGTGCATATCGTACTTGCAATTTTGTTCCCGTAAAAATTAAAATTAATCGCAACTGACTAAACGTAGGTCCAACCACTCAAGTTAACCGTCTACTTCTCCTGGTTCTCCATTTTGCTTCTCTGCAAGTGGCGCGCATATATTATACTACGTATATCCCTGATCTCTTTCTCTCTAACGTCGAGGCCGATTTTGCATCTGCAAGTGGCCATCGAGGTCGTTGCACACATTGCATGTAGAGTATATCATTGCACAACTATGTCACGCCTCCCGTCGATCTCCCAGCTGCCAAAAAGTAATGAAAAAAAAATCCCCTCTACTTTTAAAGTTGTTATAAATATTGTTTACTTTAACCATTACGTTTGATCATTCATTTTATGAAAAGTACGAATTACCCCCAACTATACATACCGGACGAATTACCCCCCTCGACCCAATCCGCAGTGGTTTTGGTCTACGTGGCGTACACATGGCAGTCCAGTCAGCATTCTATTTTAAAAAAATTATGGGACCCACCTGT